AGAAACCACTCCTACCTGTTGCACCAGAAGAAAAGCTGGTGGGATCCAATTGATACGTTTATCTGCAAAGACCCGTATGTGTGGATAAACATGTAGAAAGGTAAGTAAAAGGACTAGAATGTACTCTCAGTTGTGTTTATATGTATACTGTCCAAGGGTACTGTAGATGTCCTTTATAGACCACAGAGTTTTCCAGGGTAAAAGAGGAAATACATAGGAGAAAAGAAGTAGGGTGAAAGGCTGAGGAAGGAAAGAATGGTTTCAGAAAAAAGAGTTGTTTACAAATATGTGGTAAAGTTGCAAATAATTTTATTTCACTTTTTGTTACAACTCAGAAAAACTATCATCTTTGGGGGTTCTAGAATATACATATATGTGCATGTGTATATTAGGGCTGCCAAGTCCCCCCAGGGAGCAGGGATTCCCCCGTTCTAAGGGCCCCCAATCCGCCAGTCCAGATCTGACCAGCGGGGGGAACCCCACCCCCCAAGTGGCCAGATCAGGCCGACGTGCCCGGCATGATGACATAGCCTGGAAGTGACATCATCACTCTGGGCACGTCGCCAGGCGATGCTCTGGCCATCGGCCTGAAAACTCTATGGTACCATAGAGTTTTCAGGCCGATGGCCAAAGCGTCACCCGGCAACGTGCCCAGCATGATGACGTCACTTCTGAGCTATGTCATCGCAGCGCGCGCATGAATGTCCCAGCCAGGGACCCAAACTCCCCCGCTAAACAAAGGTAAGCACTTGGCAACCTTAGTGTATATATACATATGGATGTATACACACACATACAGACAGAAACACTGATTAATTGCAGGAGAGATTTCTAATCTGATAAAATCTTTAGCCAGCAGACAGTTCTAATATTTGCCAATAAAGTTCTTACTTAGGGTAATAAATGTACTGTAAACTGTTGGGACTCCCCAGGGTTATTGTATAACTAAAAGAAGATACTACATATATATTTTAATAATGTAAACTTGTTGAGATTCAATAATTAGAAGCAGAGAAGAGGCTTAGCAGCAATCATGTAACACAAACAATACTAACCACAGGCCACAATCCCAAGAGTTCCTTCATGGGAACCAAGGGCCTATGTGTGCCCAGCATCTTTTGACATTTTTCTCTTTGAAATCCCATACTGTGCTGAAAACCTCTTCTGACAAGTCACCTGTTTTAAAAGGCAGCCTGCCTGTAATATGAGGTTAATGGAGAAATCTACTTCCTGAAAATTGTAATGCAAGCATTTTACAGGGCACATGAAGGATGAAGGCCAAAACCTTCTGTTTGTACAATCACAGAAAACGCACAATGCTGTTAAAATGTCACATGGGTGGGCAAAATTTCAAAGAGTCTTGTGGCACCTTAAAGACAAAATGCTGAGAACATAAGAGGAGCCTTGTATGACATCCCTTTTCTCACTGGGTCTAACTGGATGCCTCCAGAAGCCAAGCAAGAAGCAACTGCCCTCTAGCAACTGGTATTCCATATTATACACTGCCTCTGAACACGACTGTATTCTATGGAAGCATAAGGTTTCTTGCTTAATGTCAGACGAAGGCAAACTAATTTGTTGCAGGAGTTTGGGATAGCTCTGGTCTTTTTTCTTTTTTTTTTCATTTGTTGGTTCCTCAACTGGTTATAATCAAATGCAGGATTGATATAAAAAACTTCCAAGAGATATTTTCAGGCCACAACAGAAGACATCGATCAATTCATAATTGAAAACAAGTCCAGAAACCGCTTCCTTCTTATTTACCATCATCTAAAGATTACTGTTTAGATGCTGACTCAAAAAGGACTGAAGCTCACTATCCTAAGTTCTAGGGAAAGGTTTCAAAGGAACTTTAAGTCAAAGGGTAAAAGTTCATAGTCAAGAGACCATGTAATGCTGGTGCCCTTTGGAAACCCACAGCTTTTGATTTAGGATTGACCTTTTTCTAAAAAGGATCTTGATTTCATTCTTTTTTGTGGATAACGCAGTTCTTAATTAGTAACCAGCTACTATTCAGCCATGGTTTGATTTGCTAAATCGGCATAATCACAAAAATCTTACAGAGTAGTGGTTTTTACAGACATTTTTGAGAGCTGACATTAGAGTTTATTACTTCCACAAAATGCAGTTAAATTTAGCAAACAACTTATCCCTTACTCTAGACAAATCTTTGTTTCTCTGACAGATGGATTCCCACTCACTTTAACATATTTATGGTTGACTGTTAATATCAAGAAAATGTGCTTGAAAACATCTCACAGGGTGCTTCAGTGGTGAAACTTATAATGCTAGAACTTTCAGATTGTTATATAATATTGTTGATGACTGATCTGATGAAGGGAGCTTTGACACTCAAAAGTCCTGAGAATCTTGTTGGTCTATAAGGTGCTACTGGGCTCAAAGCTAGCTCTTATACTGCAGACCAACATGGCTACCCTCTGAAAATATAACATATCCACTGACTACTGACTACAGCTCCTAGATAACTAGAGTTAAGGGGGAAAGGAATGGCAAGACAAAACATACTCTACCCAACCCCATCGTTTCAACAGGCTTTGTTTGCCATGACCTACTTTCCCCTTTCCAACTCATCCTGAATTGTGTTTTTTCCCCCCCCCCCCCCATGCAAGCTACCCTCTCTAGGCATGGGATTGAACCCAGGTGGCAAGTGATAATGGAAAGACACAGGACACTGAAGGTTGTGTGGGGTATTTTAAATTGGGCATCCTCAGGAATTGGTAGGAGCCTGACTGGTGCCTCTGTTCCCCTCCCTTGCCACTAAAGTAGGGCCTCCCCCCCAGATGATCCCACCTCCAAAGCTTATATTGTTACCTCTCACTGAGGATTATAGATCCAAATCCTCTTTCATTTTTCTTCTTCTTAAAAATTCCGCTTTGAAATTAATTTTATTGGTTGCTGCTAAAGGGCATCCTGAGGTGGTGCCCTCCCATTCCTTGCCTTCATGCGGCCAATCCATTTTACATTGCTGTTGACCCTTCAGCATGGTCTTTGCCAGCGCATTGTGGGGTGACCAAGGTACTACTACCTGAAATCCTCCATACACAATTAAGCTCTGGAAATTCATTAATAAGTATAGGGTTGCAAAGTGTAAATTCCTCCAGAGCGGGGGACTCCCGTCCAGCGTCTCAAACGTGCGCACCGCACGCACGTCACCCAGAACTGACGTGACGACACCGGGCACGCTGGGGGCGGGGCCATGACCATCCGAGGGAAAGCCATACAGTTTTCCCTTGGATGACCGTGGCCCTGCCCCCAGCGTGCCCAGCGTGGTCATGTCACTTCCAGGTGACGCGCACGTCGGGGTGGGGTTCACCCCGGGGCCCGGTCTGCCGGTGGCGGGGAACGGGCCTCTGGTGCGGGGGTTTCCCCGCCCCCCGGGGGGACTTGGCAAGCCTAAATCAGTACCACGTATGTTTAATTATGAAAACATGGGATAAAATTCACTAAAGGTTACATTTCCTTGTTAAGAAATAAAAATAATAGTCAGTAGATAAAACTGCTGTCCAAGAAGACAACTCTGAAGTTATTTTTTTTCCAGATAATTAAAACAGTAAAATTCAGAAGTAGCAACATTACATTTACATTTAAAAAAAAGACTCTTAGGGTTATATAGGTGGAATCAATGGGTACTTCAGTAGATTGGGAACTAGATCAGGGAGGCCAACTAAGATGGACGCCCACCGCCTCACCCAAAGGTCTGGCAGAAACCACTACTTTGTTTGTATTCTCCCCACAACTAATTTTCTAAATCACAATTAATCCCAGTTTATCAGTTCTCTTGAAGCAACGTATCAGTGGGTATGTGTGGGAAAGTCATCCATTTCAGTATTGTTTTAATAAGGTACTGCAGTGCATACAAAGACCTAGGCAAGGTGGGCAGAGTACAGCAAGAGTAACTTAAGAGACCCATTCAGACACTATACACACTTTTGTCTGTAATGGGGACAAACACTCATTGTTGCTGTGCTCACCGGCTTCCTTCCCTTTGATTGGAGCAGGGTTCAGAAGCCTTCACTCAAAATTCCAGTTTTCCAAAGCTTCCAAACACAGGTGACTGGACCAACGGGAATCAGTTTTCTCCCTACAACCAGGGTTCTAAAACCATGACTAAGTCCCTGTAATGAATCCCAGTTTCTGGGGAGGAAAAAAACTCCAATTTGCCCAGGCAAATCTTCAAGCACTCTGCGCTCACAAGGAGTGGAGGGAGAGAACACATAAAGTGCAAACAGGAAGCTGTGCCAGTCGTGGACAAACTTCTGTTTGTCATCATGTCTGAATGAGGCCAAAATGGGGAGGGGGGAGAAGAGTGAGCAACAAAAACCTTCCTCTGCCTCTCCCCACCATACATATCAACTTTAAAAGCCAATCTGGTTGAAAAGCAGGACATAAATAAATAATAAAAGTATATTTCATGAGCACAGCTCAGTTGCTGATATACATGTTGTTGCAATAATGGTTCCTATTTACAGGTTAGTATAATTTAACCTGACTTTAAAAAAAATAGATTGGTCTTAACATTCTGATAGCATGGATTTCAAAAGTTCATAAAGTTCATGCAATACTTTTTCACCATGTAAATATGCTGTTGGTTAATTCACAGGAGAGGCTAAAATGTCCTCTCACTCTCTCTTTTTTAATTAATCACTACACCAACAAATGCAAACTTTTCTCTTGGGTGGAGTTCACATGCACTATAGTGTACCAACCAATGGGAAAATGAATCTCTGGTTTGAAACATAAGTTGCCATGCCAATGGTGTAATAACAGTTCTGTTGGCAGAACAGCATTTCCATTCATGGAGTGAGGAGGGTGATTTCTGCTGATTTCCCTCCCACTACAGACCCCCACTTTGCACTGTGTACTGTTCCTTGGGGTCCACTGACCCACAGAAGCACAATTGGGGGAGGGGGAGATGCAGAAGTTGCAGTGGGAGAAAGGAGGCAGAGAAACTGCCTTCATTTAGCTTGACTTTGCTCATGCTACTTCGATTCAAGATTCTGTATGAAGATCCAGATAGCTAAGTAAGTCCTTACCTGAGAGGACAGCAAATTGCAATCCACGTGCATACCCTTCCCTGTTTTACGACTGTGAAGAAGTGCAGCCATAATTGCTCCATATGCATACAGTCCTGTAGCAAGATCAGTCATAGCAACTCCTGGTCTAACTGGCTCACCTTCCTAAAGGAAGAAAACAAGAGAAAAAGAATTGACATTTCAGTACTGTATACCATGCACTGTACTGCTCTCTGTAATAAGACCTTAATAATCCCATGTCAAGACACTGCCATGATATCAAGAACTGAAAAGGACTACTTTGTTTCCTGCATCACCCAAGAATACTAACAGTGGCTTCAGTTATGACTATAATGGTCAGAGTTGTCAAAATTCCTGCTCCCTTGGAAATTACTCTCAATTTATTCCTCTATTAAATATGGATTTAAAAGTCCAAAACAGACCAAAACAACAAAACCAACTTCCTGGCCCATTACAAAACAACCACTCTGTTTTCGGGCACCAGGCTCCATTTACACCACCCTCAAGTCTAAAACATTCACCTCCAACTATAATTCCTTCTTTATATAACAGCATAATAGGACCATTGATCCAAACAACAGGAAAATGGAATGTATATTTAATAAAAGAAAAGGACAGAGGGGCACACACTCATATCATAGGGGAAAGGGGGATCAGGAAGTGCAGGAGAGTATTCTGTTGTCTGAATAGTTATTAATAATAACCAAATTGCAAAAGGGGATTCCAGGCTTATGTTATGTTATGTTATGTTATGTTATGTTATGTTATGTTATGTTATGTTATGTTATG